TATTTAAGTGTTATGTTTGTTAGGCTGTGGACAGTGTAGTGTGATTATAGTGTTATGTGCATGCTGTTGTTGTTTGTTCCCCCTGACACTTGTCACTAATCCATACGTAATACAAGCAGGCAGTACGGATCCACTGTGCGAGAAGCGTTCACCCACAAGGACACTACGAACACCCACAGGCACACGTGCAGTGGTTGGTGGGGCTGTGTATGAGGGAGTGGGCCGGAGAGCGGTCCTGTCCTTCGCTCCGAGGAAAGGACACGCACCGGAGACATAGGACTTCATGAGTAGTGTGTTATACAAGGCGTGGACATTCAACAGCCCCATTCTGGTGGGACGATATAGTTCCCTTGGATTTTCTAATACGCCAAATCCTAAAGTAGTGTACATTTACCCCTGAGCGTGTACTTTAGATGCATTCGTGTGCACTTGCACCATAGGCTTGGAATAACAAGCTATTGACGAGACACAACAGACTGGATGTAGTGTACACTTACCCCTGAGAGTGTAGGAATAACAAACTGTTGACCACACATAACAGCCTGGATGTAGCGTGCACTTACCCCTGAGAGTGTATCGTTGATGCACTAAGCACTTGCACTATAGGCATGCAATATCAAGCTAAGACATAACAGCCTGCATGTAGCGACTTACCCCTGAGAGTGTATCGTAGATGCGTTGTTCTAGCAATGCGTCCTCGTCGCGTGTGACGTGTTTACGTCGCGACCTATTGGCTGCGGGTGTTGTGGGTGCAGTAGACACAACATTCCCACGGGACGCTTGAGGTGTCCTGTAGAAAGAGACAAAGTGGAGTGGGTCAGTATTTGTTTAAACACAGTTGGATATATATATATGTATATATATATATATATATAATACACAGAAAACAGGCACATGTTACGTATATACATATATTTAATACACATTTATCTGAAGTATAGCCACATGACCTAAACTAACATACGTTGGATTTGTCGCCGTAGCTGTGCTTGCACTTGGCGCACCCGAGGTTCGGTTGGGGGCATGTGTGCTATTTATAGAAACGGCGCCCGGATCTTTCTTGGTAGGACCCTTTTTGTCCAATAATACGGGCTTACTCTTCTCGGGTATATATTTCGCCACTGCGGGTATCTCCGGTCTCTTTGTCTTCTTTGTCGCAGTGGCAGTTGATGTTCCGCTGGCCGTCCCGTTTTTGGGTAGAGCTGCGTAAGGACAAAGATACACCTTAAGGCTTCAGTCAACATGTACATGTACGAGACTGCGAAAGTACGTTACGTACAGGCACAGATAGGTTTAACATAACTGTATTTATCACTGCAGATCTAATAGGCCTCAGACAAGATGGCTTTATCCAATGCCAGCCTCCATGATCACCATCGGAGACAAAATAGCACATAATAAAAACCCCATTGTGTCCACACGCAGCTACATATATAAGCATATGATATATTCAAATATAACACACACACCTATATATATATATATATATGTGTGTGTGTGTGTGTGTGTGTGTGTGTGTGTGTGTGTGTGTGTGTGTGTGTGTGTGTGTGTGTGTGTGTGTGTGTGTGTGTGTGTGTGTA